ATCATACAAACTCCACTCACTCACTCACTCTGTAGAACAGGGGGAGATCACACAAACTCCACTCACTCGCTCTGTAGAACAGGGGGAGATCATACAAACTCCACTCACTCTGTAGAACAGGGGCAAGATCGTACAAACTCCACTCACTCTGTAGAACACGGTGACATCATACAAACTCCACTCACTTACTCTGTAGAACAGAGGGAGATCATACAAACTCCACTCACTCACTCTGTAGAACAGGGGGAGATAATACAAACTCCACTCACTCTGTAGAACAGGGAGAGATCATAGACACTGCACTCACTCACTCTGTAGAACAGGGGGAGATCATACAAACTCCACTGACTCTGTAGAACAGGGAGAGATCATACTAAACCCACTCACTCACTCTGTAGAACAGGGGGAGATCATACAAACTCCACTCACTCTGTAGAACAGGGGGAGATCATACAAACTCCACTCACTCACTCTGTAGAACAGGGGGAGATCACACAAACTCCACTCACTCACTCTGTAGAACAGGGGGCGATCACACAAACTCCAAACACTCTGTATAACAGGGGGAGATCATACAAACTCCACTCACTCACTCTGTAGAACAGGGGGAGATCATACAAACTCCACTCACTCACTCTGTAGAACAGGGGGAGATCACACAAACTCCACTCACTCTGTAGAACAGGGGAAGATCATACAAACTCCACTCACTCTGTAGAACAGGGGGAGATCATACAAACTCCACTCACTCTGTAGAACAGGAGGAGATCATACAAACTCCACTCACTCTGTAGAACAGGGGCAGATCATATAAACTCCACTCACTCACTCTGTAGAACAGAGGGAGATCATACAAACTCCACTCACTCACTCTGTAGAACAGGGGGAGATCATAAAAACGCCACTCACTCACTCTGTAGAACAGGGGGAGATCATACAAACTCCACTAACTCACTGTGTAGAACAGAGGGAGATCACACAAACTCCACCCACTCACTCTGTAGAACAGGGGGAGATCACACAAACTCCACTCAATCTGTAGAACAGGGGGAGATCATACAAGCTCCACTCACTCTGTAGAACAGGGGGAGATCATACAAACTCCACTCACTCACTCTGTAGAACAGGAGGAGATCATACAAACTCCACTCACTCTGTAGAACAGGGGGAGATCATATAAACTCCACTCACTCACTCTGTAGAACAGGGGGAGATCATACAAACTCCACTCACTCACTCTATAGAACAGGGGGAGATCATACAATCTCCACTCACTCTGTAGAACAGGGGCAAGATCATACAAACTCCACTCACTCTGTAGAACAGGGTGACCTCATACAAACTCCACTCACTTACTCTGTAGAACAGAGGGAGATCATACAAACTCCACTCACTCACTCTGTAGAACAGGGGGAGATCATACAAACTCCACTCACTCACTCTGTAGAACAGGGGGAGATCATACAAACTCTACTCACTCACTGTGTAGAACAGTGGGAGATCATACAAACTCCACTCACTCACTCTGTAGAACAGGGGGAGATCACACAAACTCCACTCACTCAATGTGTAGAACAGGGGGAGATCACACAAACTCCACTCACTCACTCTGTAGAACAGGGGGAGATCACACAAACTCCACTCACTCTGTAGAACATGGAGAGATCACACAAACTCCACTCACTTACTCTATAGAACAGGGGGAGATCACACAAACTCCACTCAATCTGTAGAACAGGGGGAGATCATACAAACTCCACTCACTCACTGTGTAGAACAGGGGGAGATCATACAAACTCCACTCACTTCCTGTGTAGAACAGGGGGAGATCACACAAACTCCACTCACTCACTCTGTAGTACAGGGGGAGATCATACAAACTCCACTCACTCACTCACTCTGTAGAACAGGGGGAGATCACACAAACTCCACTCACTCTGTAGAACAGGGGGAGATCATACAAACTCCACTCACTCTGTAGAACAGGGGGAGATCATACATACTCCACTCACTCACTCTGTAGAACAGGGGGATATCATACAAACTCCACTCACTCACTCTGTAGAACAGGGAGAGATCATACAAACTCCACTCACTCACTCTGTGGAACATGGAGAGATCACACAAACTTCACTCACTTACTCTATAGAACAGTGGGAGATCACACAAACTCCACTCACTCTCTAGAACAGTGGGAGATCATACAAACTCCACTCACTCTGTAGAACAGGGGGAGATCACACAAACTCCACTCACTCTGTAGAACAGGGGGAGATCATACAAACTCCACTCACTCACTCTGTAGAACAGGGGGAGATCATACAAACTCCACTCACTCACTCTGTAGAACAGGGGGAGATCATACAAACTCCACTCACTCACTCTATAGAACAGGGGGAGATCGCACAAACTCCACTCACTTCCTGTGTAGAACAGGGGGAGATCACACAAACTCCACTCACTCTGTAGTACAGGGGGAGATCATACAAACTCCACTCACTCTGTAGTACAGGGGGAGATTATACAAACTCCACTCACTCTGTAGAACAGGGGGAGATCATACAAACTCCACTCACTCACTCTGTAGAACATGAAGAGATCACACAAACTTCACTCACTTACTCTATAGAACAGGGGGAGATCATACAAACTCCACTCACTCTGTAGAACAGTGGGAGATCATACAAGCTCCACTCAATCTGTAGAACAGGGGGAGATCACACAAACTCCACTCACTTCCTGTGTAGAACAGGGGGAGATCACACAAACTCCACTCACTCTGTAGAACAGGGGCAAGATCATACAAACTCCACTCACTCTCTAGAACAGGAGGAGATCACACAAACTCCACTCACTCTGTAGAACAGGGGCAAGATCATACAAACTCCACTCACTCTCTAGAACAGGGGGAGATCACACAAACTCCACTCACTCTCTAGAACAGGGCGAGATCGCACAAACTCCACTCACTCTGTAGAACAGGGGGAGATTATACAAACTCCACTCACTCACTCTGTAGAACAGGGGGAGATCATACAAACTCCACTCACTCTGTAGAACAGGGGGAGATCATACAAACTCCACTCACTCACTCTGTAGAACATGGAGAGATCACACAAACTTCACTCACTTACTCTATAGAACAGGGGTAGATCATACAAACTCCACTCACTCTGTAGAACAGTGGGAGATCATACAAACTCCACTCACTCTGTAGAACAGGGGGAGATCATACAAACTCCACTCACTCACTCTGTAGAACAGGGGGAGATCACACAAACTCCACTCACTCTGTAGAACAGGGGGAGATCATACAAACTCCACTCACTCTCTAGAACAGGGGGAGATCACACAAACTCGACTCACTCACTCTGTTGAACAGGGGGAGATCACACAAACTCCACTCACTCACTCTGTGGAACAGGGGGAGATCATACAAACTCCACTCACTCTGTAGAACAGGGGGAGATCATACAAACTCCACTCACTCTGTAGAACTTTGGGAGATCACACAAACTCCACTCACTCTGTAGAACAGGGGGATATCATACAAACTCCACTCACTCTGTAGAACAGGGGGAGATCATACAAACTCCACTCACTCACTCTGTAGAACAGGGGGAGATCACACAAACTCCACTCACTCTGTAGAACAGTGGGAGATCATACAAACTCCACTCACTTCCTGTGTAGAACACAGGGAGATCATACAAACTCCACTCACTCTGTAGAACAGTGGGAGATCACACAAACTCCACTCACTCTCTAGAACAGGGGGAGATCACACAAACTCCACTCACTCTGCAGTACAGGGGGAGATCACACAAACTCCACTCACTCTGTAGTACAGGGGGAGATCACACAAACTCCACTCACTCTGTAGTACAGGGGGAGATCACACAAACTCCACTCACTCTCTAGAACAGTGGGAGATCATACAAACTCCACTCACTCTCTAGAACAGTGGGAGATCATACAAACTCCACTCACTTCCTGTGTAGAACAGGGGGAGATCATACAAACTCCACTCACTCTCTCGAACAGTGGGAGATCATACAAACTCCACTCACTCTCTAGAACAGTGGGAGATCATACAAACTCCACTCACTCTCTAGAACAGTGGGAGATCATACAAACTCCACTCACTTCCTGTGTAGAACAGGGGGAGATCACACAAACTCCACTCACTCTGTAGAACAGTGGGAGATCATACAAACTCCACTCACTCACTCTATCGAACAGCGGGAGATCATACAAACTCCACTCACTCTCTAGAACAGAGGGAGATCATACAAACTCCACTCACTCTCTAGAACAGGGAGAGATCATACAAACTCCACTCACTCTCTAGAACAAGGGGAGATCATACAAACTCCACTCACTCTGTAGAACAGGGGGAGATCATACAAACCCCACTCACTCACTGTGTAGAACAGTGGGAGATCATACAAACCCCACTCACTTCCTGTGGAGAACAGGGGGAGATCACACAAACTCCACTCACTCTGTAGAACAGGGGGATAACATACAAACTCATTCACTCACTCTCTAGAACAGAGGGAGATCATACAAACTCCACTCACTCACTCTGTAGAACAGGGGGAGATCACACAAACTCCACTCACTCTGTAGAACAGGGGGAGATCATACAAACTCCACTCACTCTCTAGAACACAGGGAGATCACACAAACACCACTCACTCTGTAGAACAGGGGCAAGATCACACAAACTCCACTCACTCTGTAGAACAGGGGGAGATCATACAAACTCCACTCACTCTCTAGAACAGTGGGAGATCATACAAACTCCACTCACTCTGTAGAACAGGAGCAAGATCACACAAACTCCACTCACTCTCTAGAACAGGGGCAAGATCACACAAACTCCACTCACTCTGTAGAACAAGGGGAGATCACACAAACTCGACTTTCAGGGGGGGGTGGGGACCGATAGAGCGACGAGGGAGGCCCAGGACACTCCGTCGCCCCGCGTCTCTCACCAACGGAGTAATTCTGCGCGCCGTTCTTGACGGTGAAGTGCGGCCCCAACGAGAACTCCGTGAGCCTGATGAACTTCGACAGGAAGACCGCCTCTGGCTTGGCCCAGCGGAACTCGAGTTCGCTCACCATGCTGCTGACTTCGAGACAACAGGTGCATAACATGCGCACGTGAGCGCGTGGGGGGCCCCCATAGTACGCCTATGGGGGCCCCCCCACTTTTGTTAAGTTTGCTTTACAACTTTTATTAGGTATCAGGCCACCCAAATTGAGCTACGCATCGATTTTTTGTTCCACTAATGCAGGTTTTTTTTGGGGGGGGGGGTTAGGTCGTGTAAGTATACAAATGTGTCGTTAAACCCCGCCACCACCCGACGCAGCCAATTTAGTAAGGTTGGTCACGTGAACAGAACGCGGCCAAATTTTTTATTTAAAGCTTTCGTGACTGCAGTAATTCATATTCTTAGTTCTTTCGGTAAAGTCACCACGTTGAAGGGAAACAACAAAATAATAATATATATATAAAACAATAAAAAAAATTATCACGACGTTTCGACCATAACTCAAACCAACACACCTGAAGACAACCGTTTGAGTTATGGTCGAAACGTCGTGAGAATTTTTTTTATTGTTTTATATATATATTTTACTATTTTGCTGTTTCCCTTCAACGTGGTGACTTTACCGAAAGAGCTAAGAATAAGAACGCGGCCAACTCGTGACTAGTACAGCACACCGGTGTGTGTTCGAGAGCAAAGCAGCAATGGAGCTCTTTGTGCAGAAGCGACCATTTGCCGCCGCGTGGAAACTTGTGTCTGCCAAGCCATCTGAACGCGCTGTGACGTCAATTCTAAATGCCGAGGGGAGGAAACCAGAGGCACCCGGAGACAACATCCACGTGGCCACGAGTTGAGAGAGAGAGGGAAGCGAACTCCAAATATGCAGCAACAGGCGTCAGGGTCGGGATCGAACTCACAACCTCCTGTACACCAGGCGAGGTAGTTAACATCTCCTAGCCACTTTGATGTTTATAATGAGAGAGACGCAAACTCTAAATATGCAGCAGCAGGCGTCAGGGTCAGGATCAATCACACAACCTCCTGTATACCTGGCGAGGTAGTTAACATCTCCTAGCCACTTTGATGTTTATAATGAGAGAGACGCAAACTCTAAATATGCAGCAGCAGGCGTCAGGGTCAGGATCAATCACACAACCTCCTGTATACCTGGCGAGGTAGTTAACATCTCCTAGCCACTTTGATGTTTATAATGAGAGAGACGCAAACTCTAAATATGCAGCAGCAGGCGTCAGGGTCAGGATCAATCACACAACCTCCTGTACACCAGGCGAGGTAGTTAACATCTCGTAGCCACTTTGATGTTGATAATGAGAGAGACGCAAACTCTAAATATGCAGCAGCAGGCGTCAGGGTCAGGATCAATCACACAACCTCCTGTATACCAGGCGAGGTAGTTAACATCTCGTAGCCACTTTGATGTTTATAATGAGAGAGACACAAACTCCAAATATACAGCAGCAGGCGTCAGGGTCGGGATCAATCACACGACCTCCTGTATACCAGGCGAGGTAGTTAACATCTCCTCGCTAACCATGATGATGATAATGAGAGAGACGCAAACTCTAAATATGCAGCAGCAGGCGTCAGGGTCAGGATCAATCACACAACCTCCTGTATACCTGGCGAGGTAGTTAACATCTCGTAGCCACCGTGGTGATGATAATGAGAGAGAGACGCAGACTCTAAATATGCAGCAGCAGGCGTCAGGGTCGGGATCAATCACACGACCTCCTGTACACCAGGCGAGGTAGTTAACATCTCGTAGCCACTTTGATGTTTATAATGAGAGAGACGCAAACTCTAAATATGCAGCAGCAGGCGTCAGGGTCGGGATCAATCACACAACCTCCTGTATACCTGGCGAGATAGTTAACATCTCGTAGCCACCGTGATGATGATAATGAGAGAGACACAAACTCTAAATATGCAGCAGCAGGCGTCAGGGTCGGGATCAATCACACGACCTCCTGTACACCAGGCGAGGTAGTTAACATCTCCTAGCCACTTTGATGTTTATAATGAGAGAGACGCAAACTCTAAATATGCAGCAGCAGGCATCAGGGTCGGGATCAATCACACGACCTCCTGTACATCAGGCGAGGTAGTTAACATCTCGTAGCCACTTTGATGTTTATAATGAGAGAGACGCAAACTCTAAATATGCAGCAGCAGGCGTCAGGGTCGGGATCAATCACACGACCTCCTGTATACCAGGCGAGATAGTTAACATCTCGTAGCCACCCGTGATGATGATAATGAGAGAGACACAAACTCTAAATATGCAGCAGCAGGCGTCAGGGTCGGGATCAATCACACAACCTCCTGTATACATGGCAAGGTAGTTAACACCTCCTCGCTAACCATGGCCGCCCTTAAAATGGCAGCCTTCCACGTGGCATTCGCTTTCTGCAAAATACAAACCCCCAAGCCTCCCTCCCCCCCGCACCCCGCGATGGTACGCAACGGTGGAACATCTCCGCGCGTGCGATGTCTTACAGCTGTCCAGGTGGATGGGGCAGATCTGGGTGTCCATGGGGAAGTTGCGCAGGTCCATGGGGCAGGAGAGAGTCAGGGACAGCCTGCGGAGAACCGTGGAACACAACGCGACCACATGCTCCTCTTCATACAGCAATGTGTAGGGCACACAACACACACACACACAGAGGCACAACACACACACCACACACAGACACACAAAAAGACAAAGATCCCCCGCATAGCCTTAACAGATTGTTGGGCAAGTGCTGTTAGCAAGCAGCTGTGAAGGCTAGCACGGCACACGAGGGGGTGGGTGGCCAACACCACGCCCGGCCGCCTTTGTCTCCCCAGTGGCGATGTTTACACACACCGCTACACCAGGTACTCATTTCAGGCTGATCGACCTAGGGGAGGCCCAGGACCGGTTGAGATCATTGTCACTGGTGCTGGCCGTGAGCGGGAATCGAACCCGGGTCGCAGGTTCGGAGCGCAGCGTAGCGCTAACCGCTACACCGCCGCTTCCCACAGAGACACAACACACAGAGACACAACACACAGAGACACAACACACAGAGACACAACACACAGAGACACAACACACAGAGACACAACACACAGAGACACAACACACAGAGACACAACACACAGAGACACAACACACAGAGACACAACACACAGAGACACAACACACAGACACACAACACACAGAGACACAACACACAGAGACACAACACACAGAGACACAACACACAGAGACACAACACACAGAGACACAACACACAGACACACAACACACAGAGACACAACACACAGAGACACAACACACAGAGACACAACACACACATAGATACTAGGCGTAGTAGCTATGAGATGATAATGACGTCACCTCGTATGAAGGAGTTTGCGGGTTCGATCCTAACCCTGACACCTGTTGTATATTTGGAGTTTGTGTATCTCTCTCTCTCATCACCATCACCACGGTGGCTAGGAGATGTTGTATCTCTCTCTCATCACCATCACCACGGTGGCTAGCAGATGTTGTATCTCTCTCTCATCATCATCACCACGGTGGCTAGGAGATGTTGTATCTCTCTCTCATCATCATCACCACGGTGGCTAGGAGATGTTGTATCTCTCTCTCATCACCATCACCACGGTGGCTAGGAGATGTTGTATCTCTCTCTCATCACCATCACCACGGTGGCTAGGAGATGTTGTATCTCTCTCTCATCACCATCACCACGGTGGCTAGGAGATGTTGTATCTCTCTCTCATCATCATCATCACCACGGTGGCTAGGAGATGTTGTATCTCTCTCTCATCATCATCATCACCACGGTGGCTAGGAGATGTTGTATCTCTCTCTCTCATCACCATCACCACGGTGGCTAGGAGATGTTAACTCCCTTGCCTCGTATGCAGGAGGTCGTGAGTACGATCTCGACTTTGATGACTCCTGCTGCTGTATATTTGGAGTCGGCATCTCTCTCTCTATCTCTCTCTCCCTGTGGTCGCGTGGATTTTTCTCCTACCACATTCAAAATGAGCATACGTTTAGACTCTTTTGATGCTATAAATAGTCCAAATGATAAGCCAAATTGACGAAGAGCATAATAATAGGCTGCATTACCCTCATATCCTTAGCCCCTTCGGTAAAGTCACGTTCAGGAACAAACCTGTCGGGACTACACTGTAGCTCTGTCGTCCCGACAGGTCTGTTCCTTTCACCTGAAGAAGGCCACTTGTGTTGTGGCCGAAACGTCGTGAGGATATTTCATTGTTTCATTTCATTAATTTATTACTTTATTCTCATTCCACGTGGCGGTGACTCTACCGAAAGCACCAAAGAAAAACAATTATTGCGTTGTTTGTTGATGTAGTTAACAGGCAAAGAAGGCTCCCACTATTACCCCACCCCCCACAACAACAACAACAACAACAAACAACACAAAGCTCTAAATTTTGATTTAAAGCTTTCGTGACTGCAGTAATTCATATTCTTAGTTTTTTCGGTAAAGTCACGTTGAAGAGAAACAACAAAATATATATAAAACAATTTTTTATTGTTTTATATATATTTTGTTATTTTGTTGTTTCTCTTCAACGTGACTTTACCGAAAAAACTAAGAACACAAAGCTCCTCGACAAAAAGCCGCTCGACACGCTCGCACCCCGAGCGGAGACCGACCGGATGGAGTAGGAGACGGTGCCGTTGCTGAAGATGCGCAGCAGGGCATTGGGCATGGTGATGACGTGGAAGTTGCCGCGCTTCTCATTCGAGTAGTGCAGCCGCGGCTTCCAGATGTAGCCCACCAGGTGGTTGCCCGGGTCCACCCACGTGGAGTTGCTGTCGCCTGCATCGTGCACCAAGCGGTGGTCCGTCCACTCCATGCCCTGGTCGACCATGATTTGGTATTCCTGCAAAAAACCCCGCCATCAACGCCAGAACCCCCGAAATGTCGAGGAGAATTCCAAATGCAGGAGGGATTTGGGATAAATAATTCCAATCAATCGGCCGGTAGGCTGCCAGTGGCATTGGGGATACGCGCGCCACAAGCGGAAACGCGGTTCTTCCACTAGGGAACAGTGTTGTTTTAGTTTTACCTACGCGACTTTACCGAATAGAACCAAAGAGTACGGCTTTGGCACAACGTGGAATGTGTGTACACTGTTATAACGTGGAACGCGTTGACCAGTCACAAAATCACTTTAAGATGTTTTTCTCGTTCAGGTTTTTGCTTGTTTGCGGTCGCACCCGATTCAAGAGCCGAATGGCTCACAGGGCTCTACCAAAATACATGAAACTATGAACTATGAACTAAATAATGCACACGCCGTTATAACGTGGAATGCGTACACCATTGAACACGTGCACCATCATAACGCGACTTCTGAGCGGTCAACGACCAACTCATTTCTTGAGCTGCCTGGCTGATGACCCGGCGAAGTGATAGACTACGCGGAGTGAAACAGTAACGTGGTGGTGGTGGTGGTGGTGCACCCTCAGTCACGTGTCCTGCCATCCCACTACTGCGTGTCTGCAAACATCGTGTGCACTTTATTCAGGGAGGGGGGGGGGAATTGTTTCCGACCGATAGGTGTTTCGCCAAACGTGGAACATTTCAGGAACGCGTCTGCTACGTTAACCGAGGAATCGCTGCGCTGATTCCTGCGCGGACGTGAGTGTGGTGTATGTGTATCGCTCACCATTGTGTTCTCCTCGATAGAACCGAACTCCATGATAGTCAAATGACAGTTCACAATTACGGGTTCCCCTGGTACAAAGACACACATACAGAGAGATACACACACACATACAGACAGATATACACACACATACAGACAGATGCACACACACACTCATATTCATAGATTGTAGTGCCATTTCAACGTCCCAATTTCCAATTTGCGTGAACGTAAGATGGCAACATTTTCTAAACTCTTTGAGTCGGTGCTCTAAGGGACCGTCCATAAATGACGTCACGCGATTTTGGACGAATTTTGCCCCTCCACCCATTCCGTCATCACACGGCGTCACAAAAAGTCAGACCCCCCCCCCTCAACTATGACGTCACAAAGCTCTGCCCCCCCCCCCAAAAAAAATAAAACACGCTTCAAATCGCTTTAGACTATTGTCATTGTAGTGCGTATTTAATGCGGCGCTGCACTCTGATGTTGTAGGTAGAAAACATTGATTAACAAAGTCTATTTAATCAAGTAGAATGTGTCGTGTATATTTATTTATAAAGTTGCGCATTTTGATGTGACGTCACATTTCTCAAACCCCCCCCCCCCACCCTCGTCAAATGTCTGACCCCCCCCCCCCTCCCCCCCCCCCCAGGTGCGTGACGTCATTTATGGACGGCCCCTAAATGACAATAAATAAATTGCCACAGGTGCAGTTTTCTTGAGCGGATTTGGGCTGTGGAGCTGCCAAACCAGAGCTGGTCATAAGCACCCTGCTCGGGTGTGGAAAACTCTCCACTCTCTCCGCAACAGCTGAGGAGGTGGAGTATTGGATGATACAAAATGCCCAGGCAGATGCTTCGTTTTGGTGGAGCTGATGGCAAGGGCCCACCCCTTAGTGGCACACTCCAGGTTCGGCAGCAGTGCCTCCAACTTGTCCTCTGAGTGAGCAGCAATCACCAGATCATCGGCGTACGTAACACGGTTGACCAATAGGCAACCATCCCTCAGCCACAGCTGCGCAACGATCAGCCTCCCATTAAATCCGTACCAGATGGAAATTCCTCCGGGACAGCCATGGAACGTTTCTCAAACTATGTGGTCGACGAGGATTTAAAAGAAAAAAGGTGGAAGCCAGAGGACATCCCTGTCGTACCCCAAGATGAACCGGGAATGGCGCTGACTTCCACGGCAAGCAACTTTACCCAGGCCTGCCCAACCATCATGAACGTCCGTAATGATCGTGAGCAGAGATTCAGGGACTCCGAAAGCACAAAGAACAACCCAGAGCCCAAGGCCTACTGATAGTATCGTAGGCCTTGACCAGGTCAATTAAGCAGAGATCTAGGTCTTGTTGGAATTCTCTACACCTCTGCTGTAGCAGACAGAACATAGCATCTGTGTTTCTGAAACCGCATCGGGGCTCCGCAAGCCTCTCCTCAGCGTGCCTGGCGAGGCGATGTTGAATAATCCTTGCCAGGACCTTTCCCGGCACACTGAGGTGGGAGATGCCCCTCTGTAGTTGTTACAGTCTGTGCGGTCCCCATTATTAAAGAGGGGGACCACCAGGGCATCATTCCAATCCTTGCGGAACAACGTCCGGTGGTCCAGACCCTGGCTATGATGTCACGTAGGGCAGTCTGCGCACAAACGGCGCCCTAGATCCGAGCACGCAACCGGACATGAAGGCCGGTTTATCCACATCTCTGAAAGTTCGTAAGTCGCCTTGTTCATAAGCAGAGGAGTCCCTTCGTAGTGTCACACAGCACTACTGACGAACGTGTTTCTGCGACACATTCATCCGAGAATATACGACGGGAAACGACATACATGCAGCGGGCAGTGGGGTGGAGAGGGGGTGAGGAGGTTGGGACATCAACGTCGACGCTGAAGACGGGGAGGCAAATTTTTTTGGGGTGGCGCATCTTTACCGTTCAGCTTGGGCAGAATTCGGCGGTCGTAATGCCGCGAGTTGATGATCTTTAAGAGGCTGTCGAGGTCCCCTCTGCAAGGCATCGGCGCGAGAATGTGAGCGGAGGGCGGCAGAACTTACGCCTGAAACAGGTATATATTTACACACGCACGAGCGGCAAGGCCTCGACTCTGCGGGTGGGTTGGGTGGGGTGGGGTGGTTGGCGCGTTGCTGAAGGCGAAACAAAGCACGTGAAGCGAAAATTGTTTCAAACAACGGTTTAGCCCCGCCCCCCCCCACGTGATAAAAACGTCACGAGTGATACTCCGTGTTGGCGGACCGCCATACCGCTCGGCCACGTGGCTAAAGAACGCAGTTTGTCGTTGAGGGCTTCGTAGCCACGTTATAGGTGTGTGTGTGTTACACGTTGTAACGGTGTGTGTGTGTGTGTGTTACACGTTGTAACGGTGTGTGTGTGTGTGTGTTACACGTTGTAACGGTGTGTGTGTGTTACACGTTGTAGCAGTGTGTGTGTGTGTGTTACACGTTGTAACGGTGTGTGTGTGTTACACGTTGTAACAGTGTGTGTGTGTTACACGTTGTAGCAGTGTGTGTGTGTTACACGTTATAACGGTGTGTGTGTGTGTGTTACACGTTGTAACGGTGTGTGTGTGTTACACGTTGTAACGGTGTGTGTGTGTGTGTTACACGTTGTAACGGTGTGTGTGTGTGTGTGTTACACGTTGTAACGGTGTGTGTGTGTGTTACACGTTGTAACGGTGTGTGTGTGTTACACGTTGTAACGGTGTGTGTGTGTTACATGTTGTAACGATGTGTGTGTGTGTGTTACACGTTGTAGCAGTGTGTGTGTGTGTTACACGTTGTAGCGGTGTGTGTGTGTTACACGTTATAACGGTGTGTGCGTGTTACACGTTGTAACGGTGTGTGTGTGTGTTACACGTTGTAACGGTGTGTGTGTGTTACACGTTGTAACGGTGTGTGTGTGTTACACGTTGTAACGATGTGTGTGTGTGTGTTACACGTTGTAACGATGTGTGTGTGTTACACGTTATAGCGGTGTGTGTGTGTTACACGTTGTAACGGTGTGTGTGTGTTACACGTTGTAACGGTGTGTGTGTGTTACATGTTGTAACGGTGTGTGTGTGTTACACGTTATAACGGTGTGTGTGTTACACGTTGTAGCAGTGTGTGTGTGTTACACGTTGTAACGGTGTGTGTGTGTTACACGTTGTAGCAGTGTGTGTGTGTGTGTTACACGTTGTAACGGTGTGTGTGTGTGTGTTACACGTTGTAACGGTGTGTGTGTGTTACACGTTGTAACGGTGTGTGTGTGTGTGTGTTACACGTTGTAACGGTGTGTGTGTGTGTGTTACACGTTATAGCGGTGTGTGTGTGTGTTACACGTTGTAACGGTGTGTGTGTTACACGTTGTAACGGTGTGTGTGTGTGTTACACGTTGTAACGGTGTGTGTGTTACACGTTGTAGTGGTGTGTGTGTGTTACACGTTATAACGGTGTGTGTGTGTTACACGTTGTAACGGTGTGTGTGTTACACATTGTAACGGTGTGTGTGTGTTACACGTTGTAACGGTGTGCGTGTGTGTGTGTTACACGTTGTAACGGTGTGTGTGTGTTACACGTTGTAACGGTCTGAGTGTGTGTTACACGTTGTAATGGTGTGTGTGTGTGTTACACGTTGTAACGGTGTGTGTGTTACACGTTGTTACGGTGTGTGTGTGTTACACGTTGTAACGGTGTGTGTGTGTTACACGTTGTAACGGTGTGTGTGTGTTACACATTGTAACGGTGTGCGTGTGTTACACGTTGTAACGGTGTGTGTATGTTACACGTTGTAACGGTGTGTGTGTTACACGTTGTAACGGTGTGTGTGTGTGCGTGTTACACGTTGTAACGGTGTGTGTGTGTGTTACACGTTGTAACGGTGTGTGTGTGTTACACGTTGTAACGGTGTGTGTGTTACACGTTGTAGCAGTGTGTGTGTGTGTTACACGTTGTAACGGTGTGTGTGTTACACGTTGTAACGGTGTGTGTGTTACACGTTGTAACGGTGTGTGTGTTACACGTTGTAATGGTGTGTGTGTGTGTTACACGTTGTAACGGTGTGTGTGTGTTACACGTTGTAACGATGTGTGTGTTACACGTTGTAACGATGTGTGTGTGTTACACGTTGTAGCAGTGTGTGTGTGTGTGTGTTACACGTTGTAACGGTGTGTGTGTGTTACACGTTGTAACGGTGTGTGTGTGTTACACGTTGTAACGGTGTGTGTGTGTTACACGTTGTAAAGGTGTGTGTGTGTTACACGTTGTAACGGTGTGTGTGTGTGTTACACGTTGTAACGGTGTGTGTGTTACACGTTGTAACGGTGTGTGTGTGTTACACGTTGTAACGGTGTGTGTGTGTTACACGTTATAACGGTGTGTGTGTGTTACACGTTGTAACGGTGTGTGTGTGTTACACGTTGTAACGGTGTGTGTGTGTTACACGTTGTAACGGTGCGTGTTACACGTTATAACGGTGTGTGTGTGTTACACGTCATAGCGGTGTGTGTGTTACACGTTGTAACGGTGTGTGTTACACGTTGTAGCAGTGTGTGTGTTATAGCAGTGCCAGTAGACGCGTTAAGCGAGGACCGCACCACGCTGCCTGTAGACGCGTTAAGCGAGTACTGTATGGTGCCTGCAGGACGCGTTAAGCGAGGACTGTATGGTGCCTGTAGATGTGTTAAGCGAGGACTGTCTGGTGCCTGTAGACGCGTTAAGCGAGGACTACATGGTGCCTGTAGGACTCGTTAAGTGAGGACTGTACAGTGCCTATAGACGCATTAAGCTAGTACTGTACGGTGCCTGTAGGACGCGTTAAGAGAGGACTGTAGACGCATTAAGCGAGGACTGTAAGGTGCCTGTAGGACGCGTTAAGCGAGTACTGCATGGTGCCTGTAGGACTCGTTAAGCGAGTACTGTATGGTGCCTGTAGGACGCGTTAAGCGAGGACTGTATGGTGCCTGTAGGACTCGTTAAGCGAGTACTGTATGGTGCCTGTAGGACGCGTTAAGCGAGGACTGTATGGTGCCTGTAGGACTCGTTAAGCGAGTACTGTATGGTGCCTGTAGGACGCGTTAAGCGAGTACTGCATGGTGCCTGTAGGACGCGTTAAGCGAGGACTGTATGGTGCCTGTAGGACGCGTTAAGCGAGTACTGCATGGTGCCTGTAGGACTCCTTAAGCGAGTACTGTAGACGCGTTAAGCGAGTACTGTATGGTGCCTGTAGGACTCTTTAAGCGTGTACTGTATGGTGCCTGTAGGACGCATTAAGCGAGGACTGTACGGTGCCTGTAGGACGCGTTAAGCGAGGACTGTATGGTGCCTGTAGGACGCGTTAAGCGAGGACTGTATGGTGCCTGTAGGACGCGTTAAGCGAGGACTGCATGGTGCCTGTAGGACTCATTAAGCGAGTACTGTATGGTGCCTGTAGGACGCGTTAAGCGAGGACTGCATGGTGCTTGTAGGACTCTTTAAGCGTGTACTGTATGGTGCCTGTAGGACGCGTTAAGCGAGGACTGTACGGTGCCTGTAGGACGCGTTAAGCGAGGACTGCATGGTGCTTGTAGGACTCTTTAAGCGTGTACTGTATGGTGCCTGTAGGACGCGTTAAGCGAGGACTGTATGGTGCCTGTAGGACGCGTTAAGCGAGGACTGTATGGTGCCTGTAGGACGCGTTAAGCGAGGACTGCATGGTGCCTGTAGGACTCGTTAAGCGAGTACTGTATGGTGCCTGTAGGACGCGTTAAGCGAGGACTGCATGGTGCTTGTAGGACTCGTTAAGCGAGTACTGTATGTTGCCTGTAGGACGCGTTAAGCGAGGACTGTATGGTGCCTGTAGGACGCGTTAAGCGAGGACTGCATGGTGCCTGTAGGACTCGTTAAGCGAGGACTTACGGTGCCTGTAGGACGCGTTAAGCGAGGACTGCATGGTGCCTGTAGGACTCGTTAAGCGAGGACTGTACGGTGCCTGTAGGACGCGTTAAGCGAGGACTGTAGACGCGTTAAGCGAGGACTGCACGGTGCCTGTAGGACGCGTTAAGCGAGGACTGTAGACGCGTTAAGCGAGGACTGCATGGTGCCTGTATGACGCGTTAAGCGAGGACTCCAGCAGCAGCTCCCCGTGACTCACGTGACAGGACGTGACGTCAGAGTCGCCACCACGGCGACCACTAAGGCAGCGAGCAGACGATGCCGTCTCATGGCTGAAGAGAGAGAGACGGGGTGTAGGTGTAGCACTTGTAAAAAAATATGTTTTAGTAATAATGTTACAAATATTACAGAGAACACATCGGGTGATTGTAGACATGGAGTAGGGAGAGAGGGGGTAGAGAGAGGGGTAGAGAGAGGGGGGGGGGGGGGGTAGAGAGAGAGAGAGGGGGGTAGAGAGAGACGGGGTGTAGGTGTAGCACTTGTAAAAAAATATGTTTTAGTAATAATGTTACAAATATTACAGAAAACACATCGGGTGAATGTAGACATGGAGTAGGGAGAGAGGGGGTAGAGAGAGGGGTAGAGAGAGGGGGTAGAGAGAGAGAGAGAGGGGGGTAGAGAGAGACGGGGTGTAGGTGTAGCACTTGTAAAAAAATATGTTTTAGTTACAAATATTACAGAGAACACATCGGGTGAATGTAGACATGGAGTAGGGAGAGAGGGGGTAGAGAGAGAGGGGGTAGAGAGAGTAGGGAGAGAGGGGGTAGAGAGAGTAGGGAGAGAGGGGGTAGAGAGGGAGAGAGGGGGTAGAGAGATGGTAGGGAGAGAGGGGGTAGAGAGAGAGAGGGGGTAGAGAGAGAGGGGGTAGAGAGAGAGGGGGGTAGAGAGAGGGGTAGAGAGAGAGGGGGTAGAGAGAGGGGTAGAGAGAGAGGGGGTAGAGAGAGGGGGTAGAGAGGGAGGGGGTAGAGAGAGAGTAGGGAGGGGGTAGAGAGAGGGGTAGAGAGAGAGGGTAGAGAGAGGGGGTAGAGAGAGGGGTAGAGAGAGAGGGGGTAGAGAGAGGGGGTAGAGAGAGGGTAGGGAGAGAGGCAAGGGGTAAGGAGAGCAGAGCGTGAAATCTTTCATTTAAAAGGGGGAGGGGGTCACACAAATCACAACATTATAAAACCCCCGACATGATGAACGAGACAACATTATAAAACCCCCGACATGATGAACGAGACATCATTATAAAACCCCCGACATGATGAACGAGACATCATTATAAAACCCCCGACATGATGAACGAGACATCATTATAAAACCCCCGACATGATGAACGAGACAACATTATAAAACCCCCGACATGATGAACGAGACATCATTATAAAACCCCCGACATGATGAACGAGACAACATTATAAAACCCCCGACATGATGAACGAGACATCATTATAAAACCCCCGACTTGATGAACGAGACATCATTATAAAACCCCCGACATGATGAACGAGACATCATTATAAAACCCCCGACATGATGAACGAGACATCATTATAAAACCCCCGACATGATGAACGAGACATCATTATAAAACCCCCGACATGATGAACGAGACATCATTATAAACCCCCCGACATGATGAACGAGACATCATTATAAAACCCCCGACATGATGAACGAGACAACATTATAAAACCCCCCGACATGATGAACGAGACATCATTATAAAACCCCCGACATGATGAACGAGACATCATTATAAAACCCCCGACATGATGAACGAGACATCATTATAAAACCCCGACATGATGAACGAGACATCATTATAAAACCCCCGACATGATGAACGAGACATCATTATAAAACCCCCGACATGATGAACGAGACATCATTATAAAACCCCCGACATGATGAACGAGACATCATTATAAAACCCCCCGACATGATGAACGAGACATCATTATAAAACCCCCGACATGATGAACGAGACATCATTATAAAACCCCCGACATGATGAACGAGACATCATTATAAAACCCCCGACATGATGAACGAGACATCATTATAAAACCCCCGACATGATGAACGAGACATCATTATAAAACCCCCGACACGATGAACGAGACATCATTATAAAACCCCCGACATGATGAACGAGACATCATTATAAAACCCCCCGACATGATGAACGAGACATCATTATAAAACCCCCGACATGATGAACGAGACATCATTATAAAACCCCCGACATGATGAACGAGACATCATTATAAAACCCCCGACATGATGAACGAGACATCATTATAAAACCCCCGACATGATGAACGAGACATCATTATAAAACCCCCGACATGATGAACGAGACATCATTATAAAACCCCCGACATGATGAACGAGACATCATTATAAAACCCCCGACACGATGAACGAGACATCATTATAAAACCCCCGACATGATGAACGAGACATCATTATAAAACCCCCGACATGATGAACGAGACATCATTATAAAACCCCCGACACGATGAACGAGACATCATTATAAAACCCCCGACATGATGAACGAGACATCATTATAAAACCCCCCGACATGATGAACGAGACATCATTATAAAACCCCCGACATGATGAACGAGACATCATTATAAAACCCCCGACATGATGAACGAGACATCATTATAAAACCCCCGACATGATGAACGAGACATCATTATAAAACCCCCGACATGATGAACGAGACATCATTATAAAACCCCCGACACGATGAACGAGACAACATTATAAAACCCCCGACATGATGAACGAGACATCATTATAAAACCCCCGACATGATGAACGAGACAACATTATAAAACCCCCGACATGATGAACGAGACATCATTATAAAACCCCCGACATGATGAACGAGACAACATTATAAAACCCCCGACATGATGAACGAGACAACATTATAAAACCCCCGACATGATGAACGAGACATCATTATAAAACCCCCGACATAATGAACGAGACAACATTATAAAACCCCCGACATGATGAACGAGACATCATTATAAAACCCCCCGACATGATGAACGAGACATCATTATAAAACCCCCGACATGATGAACGAGACAACATTATAAAACCCCCGACATGATGAACGAGACAACATTATAAAACCCCCGACATGATGAACGAGACATCATTATAAAACCCCCGACATGATGAACGAGACATTATAAAACCCCCGACATGATGAACGAGACATCATTATAAAACCCCCGACACGATGGACGAGACAACATTATAAAACCCCCGACATGATGAACGAGACATCATTATAAAACCCCCGACATGATGAACGAGACAACATTATAAAACCCCCGACATGATGAACGAGACATCATTATAAAACCCCCGACATGATGAACGAGACATCATTATAAAACCCCCGACATGATGAACGAGACATCATTATAAAACCCCCGACATGATGAACGAGACATCATTATAAAACCCCCGACATGATGAACGAGACATCATTATAAAACCCCCGACATGATGAACGAGACATCATTATAAAACCCCCGACATGATGAACGAGACATCATTATAAAACCCCCGACATGATGAACGAGACATCATTATAAAACCCCCGACATGATGAACGAGACATCATTATTAAACCCCCGACATGATGAACGAGACATCATTATAAAACCCCCGACATGATGAACGAGACATCATTATAAAACCCCCGACATGATGAACGAGACATCATTATAAAACCCCCGACATGATGAACGAGACATCATTATAAAACCCCCGACATGATGAACGAGACATCATTATAAAACCCCCGACATGATGTCTGCTCTGATCGTGAACCAGATACAGAGGGAGGGGGGTGAGAGAGTTCCATCCAGACTTGTCGAGCAGGAGGTGGAGAAGCACACACAAAGACAAAGGTCCCCCGTGTAGCCTCTAGCAGGCTGTAGGGGCAAGTGCTGTTAGTAGCAGCAGCGTCTATGAAGGTAGACACAGACAAAGGTCCCCCGTGTAGCCTCTAACAGGCTGTAGGGGCAAGTGCTGTGAGTAGCGAGTAGCACCTATGAAGGTAGACACAGACAAAGGTCCCCCGTGTAGCCTCTAACAGGCTGTAGGGGCAAGTGCTGTTAGTAGCGAGTAGCAGCAGCGCCTATGAAGGTAGACACAGACAAAGGTCCCCCGTGTAGCCTCGAGCAGGCTGTAGGGGCAAGTGCTGTTAGTAGCGAATAGCACCTATGAAGGTAGACACAGACAAAGGTCCCCCCTGTAGCCTCTAACAGGCTGTAGGGGCAAGTGCTGTTAGTAGCAGCAGCGTCTATGAAGGTAGACACAGACAAAGGTCCCCCGTGTAGCCTCTAGCAGGCTGTAGGGGCAAGTGCTGTTAGTAGCGAGTAGCAGCACCTATAAAGGCAGACACAGACAAAGGTCCCCCGTGTAGCCTCTAACAGACTGTAGGGGCAAGTGCTGTGAGTAGCGAGTAGCAGCAGCGTCTATGAAGGTAGACACAGACAAAGGTCCCCCGTGTAGCCTGTAACGGACTGCAGGGGCAAGTGCTGTTAGCGAGCACCTATGAAGGTAGACACAGACAAAGGTCCCCCGTGTAGCCTGTAACGGACTGCAGGGGCAAGTGCTGTTAGCGAGCACCTATGAAGGTAGACACAGACAAAGGTCCCCCGTGTAGCCTGTAACGGACTGCAGGGGCAAGTGCTGTTAGCGAGCACCTATGAAGGTAGACACAGACAAAGGTCCCCCGTGTAGCCTGTAACGGACTGCAGGGGCAAGTGCTGTTAGCGAGCACCTATGAAGGTAGACACAGACAAAGGTCCCCCGTGTAGCCTCTAGCAGGCTGTGGGGGCAAGTGCTGTTAGCGAGCACCTATGAAGGTAGACACAGACAAAGGTCCCCCGTGTAGCCTCTAGCAGGCTGTAGGGGCAAGTGCTGTTAGTAGCGAGTAGCAGCAGCAGCGTCTATGAAGGTAGACACAGACAAAGGTCCCCCGTGTAGCCTGTAACGGACTGCAGGGGCAAGTGCTGTTAGTAGCGAGTAGCAGCAGCAGCGTCTATGAAGGTAGACACAGACAAAGGTCCCCCGTGTAGCCTCTAACAGACTGCAGGGGCAAGTGCTGTTAGTAGCGAGTAGCAGTGTCTATGAAGGTAGACACAGACAAAGGTCCCCCGTGTAGCCTGTAACGGACTGCAGGGGCAAGTGCTGTTCGCAGCGAGTAGCAGCAGCAGCGCCTATGAAGTCTACCGGCACTGCGGCGCACACAGAGGGGGGTGGGTGTCCAGCAGCACCACGCCCGGCCGCCTTTGTCTCCCCGGCGGGCGACGTTGACACGCGGCAACGGGCTGAGTGGATCCGAACCCAACGAAATGAACCCACCACCGATGATGCATTCACGTCGGCAGCGAGTTGTCTTGACACATCGCCAATGATGTTCACCTCTTCCCGTCCCTGCTCCTCTGCGTGTGTCCCCGATCGTGGCTAGACAGACGACAAACTCCTCCCAGGAGGGGGTTTGATTTTTTTACCGGTTGAGAGAGAGAGAGGGTAGGGAGAGAGGGGGTAGAGAGAGGGGGTAGGGAGAGAGGGGGTAGAGAGAGAGGGTAGGGAGAGAGGGTAGGGAGAGAGGGGGTAGAGAGGGTAGGGAGAGAGGGTAGGGAGAGAGAGGGTAGGGAGAGAGGGGGTAGAGAGAGAGAGGGGGTAGAGAGAGGGGGTAGAGAGGGGGTAGAGAGAGGGGGTAGGGAGAGGGGGTAGGGAGAGAGGGTAGGGAGAGAGGGGGTAGAGAGGGTAGGGAGAGAGGGGGTAGAGAGAGAGGGTAGG